ACACACACACACACACACACACACACACACACACACACACACACACAGTTGTTCCTTGCAGAGAGCCAGTTCTCTGACTTAGGCCAGGAGCAACACTAGTCCATGCATACAAACACAAATATTTAGAAGGTAGTTTGACAACATGATACCATATACGTTTAGTAAAATGACAGTAATAGATCTTTTCCCACCTCTCTTGGCCTTACAACCTCTCTAGTTACAGGCTTTTGACTGTCCCTGTGCAGCAGGGCATTAAACAGGGTCCAGGGAGATCACCTAAGAGAGAATGGGGGAAAAACGGGAACACAAAGAACCACAGCTTGTCTATAGGCTGATCAAACTGTAATTTTTACTTTTTTCACATGGGTTATATACACAAAAGGCAGGATGTGGGGAAGGGGATGACACAGGAGGATAGGTGTTCAGGGGGAGTACAGATATCTTCCAGAACAGAGTGTCAGCTGGGTGAAGGTTCAGAATACAGATCAATATGACTCTGCCTATGATCCACTTGTCCTTATCTAAGTTGGTACTATCCACCAAGGCTACCTATCTACAAGGTCTATGACTATTCAGCCTGGTAATTTTCCACCAAAGCTGCTTGTTTACAATAGCTTCTAGCCATCTGTTTCAGTGTTTTTCCACAGAGACCCAAGACTTTGTGTTAGCAGGCATATATATCAGGCCTATTGCTGTTTTTAGGCCTATGGTTGATTCTAGGCCTTCAGTGTATAAGCAGGGCTGCCCCTGACATTTGACCAGGTTTATAGTACCAGTCATGAATTCCATTCTGTAATATGAGTCTCAGATCCAGTCGGAAAGTGTCTGGTTACACCCATAACAGACAACCAGCACCATTGTACCTGTGAGTACATGTTTCCTAGCATGCCTGTTTGGTAGCATGATATTGCTAGGTAAGACAATTGATAACCTTTCCCTACCAGTAGTCTGCATAGTACCTTCTGTAACTATGCAAGAACTAATGAGTAGTCTTGCATAGTTATAGAGTAGTTTGAACTAAAGTGTGTTGTGTCTTCAGTGATAGGGTCTGATTCTCTAGTTCTGGCAGGCAAACAGAAGCAGTGATGGTAACCTATATTGTTTGGAGGGTTTGGCGGTCTCCTTGGCCAACAGTTCATAGGGAGATATTCCACCACTTACACTGGGCTAAGAAAATTTAAATAAAGAAAATATTTCCCTTGAGTTTGGAGAGCTTCAGATTTCTGATATTATTGGAATATTTATGAATTTCTTGTTTTGACCATGAATTGAGCTCTGTTATCTAAAGGAATGGGCTAGATTTCAATCCCATTCTATATATGATATGACAGATAGAACCAGAAACAAATGATTCCAGATCTGTAGGTGGTAGTCATAGTTGAAAGGAAAAGAACACAAAGAGAGTCCATAAGAAGAATTTTTATTTTTGCTGTGGTCTAGTTGTCCTCCCTCCCTCCCTCCCTCCCTCCCTCCCTCCCTCCCTCCCTCCCTTTTCTTGATTATGCTTTGGTGTCAAATCTAACTTTGCTGCCCAATGCTAGGATTTAAGGATTTTCTCCTACGTTTTGTTCTAAAATCTGTTCAACTATATTGTAAATTTATGATCCATCTGAGTTAATTTACATAAAAGGTATGAGCTTTGATTGAAGTTCATGTGCTGTCATATGAATGTTGGAGATCTCTTGTCCCAGTACCAGTAGTGATACTTTTGCTGTTTTGTACTTTTGTTGCTGTTTCTTTGTCTTTCTGCTTCTGGATTCTTTTCAAATTCTTCTGACCTGTGTATCTGTCTTTTTTTATATATATATACTTCTCTATCTTGATTATTATAATTCGGTAAAAACTCTTAAGATTATTTCATATATTTAATATGTTTTTATATGACTTATATATTTCTTATTAAATTTGTTAACACGTCTAGAAGTCAGTTAATATCAACACTCACTAAATTTCATTGTTTTCTAAACATTTATTTCATTCATTTTGTTACTTAGTTATTTCATTATGCCAAAGTCATTATCTAATAGTTCTCAAAACTTAAGCATTTAAGTTTAGCTCTGTGCCTGGCATCACAATAGAATGTAGACTTGGGTCCAGTGGCAAGATGGCTCATGCTCTAAGGTTCTGGAAGCTGTGTCCTTGGCTGTTATTTCCTGGCAGGCTTATGCAGGGAAGAAAGGTGAAACCTCACCAGAAAGGTCTTGTTGTGATGTATGCTTTTATATCATTTTGTAAGAGTAATTTTCCAGTAACCACTATCATTAGTATTTGCTTGTTATTAAGTTCAGTAAGAAAGAATACGTTGGTTGTCAATTTTTTTTTCAGTGTATCTAGCTGTTTCTTTTGCTTAAGAAATGGGATACAGTGTTGTGATTACATGATTCTATATTTTCTTACTGCATATTTAATAAAAAGGTTTAGAACAACTGCAATAAAGAAAATAATGGCTACTTTCCTGTACAGGTACGGCTATTGGCAAAGAAAATTTTCTATTCATATTTGAGCCTGTTAGTGAATTCAAGGAATGACCTGGCTCTGGCTTATATTCTCAACATCCCTGACCGAGGACTGGGTAGAGCAGCCTTTACCGACTTGAAGCATGCTGCCCGAGAGAAGCAATTGTCTATGTTTTTGGTATGGATGCTTGCATTTTCAGGACTTGTAATTATAATGAAACAAATTTTAAGTAGTTAATTTATGTTTTATCTTCATATTTGAAAAATCCATTGATTTTTAATTTTTCCTGTGTCTTCCAAGTTTATCAAGTGAGAATTTCTGTTAAGCAGTATTTTCTACAAAAATATATTCCATAGACCATTACCCCTAATAAATAAATGTACAGATTTTTTCTTCTTTTCTCTTCTCCTTCCTTCTTTCCTATCTTTACTTTGAGGGGCTTTGCTATGTGGCCCAAGTTGATCACAGATTCTCAATCCCCTTGCCTGTGTTTCACAAGTGCTGGGTTATAAACATGTACTGCTGTACCTGGCTTCAATAGACTCTTCTTGAGTAAGTATTTCTAAGAACACAAATTGTCAGAGATAGCATACGTGATGTTTGTTTACATGATGTGTGTCTGTATATCAGGAGCTTTGAGAAGTCCTTCAGTGAAGTAACTTCCTTATGTCTTCCTTGTGACTTTGTCTGTGATACCTCAAGCTGTTTTACCATATAACTTTCCCACAAATTACTGATATTCCATAATGTGCTTTTTAAAAGGTAATTTGGAAGATGCTGTTTTGGGAACATTTCATCCTTTAGATGGAGATGTTCTTGTGTATAGCTATCATATACACATTTCTATCAGTGTTAAGACAGTTCTTTCAAATGCTTATCCTGGGATGTGAAAGCTTGCTGGGATCTGGTGGTTATCTGGTACAAATCTTATTTCATAGCAAAGGTAAAATATAAAGGTTTAGGCCCATTGGAAACAACGGAGTAGTTGACAGTGAAAATGGATTTCTTTTATGTAATGATTTCAATAGCTAATTACTCACATAAATGAAACTATATTCATGAACAAAATCTGTATAGTCAAAGGTCTGCTCTTAATATGAACATATTCCTTTGTCATCTGACCTGGCATGTCAGTTTCATCTCCAGCTACTTGCTCTCGGTCTCACCCTACCTAGGATGGGGTCCATGTGACACTTGCTCCTGAGATTATCTGTTCTCCAGTGTGTGACATGATCCCTGAAGTGTGCTCCTTGGTGCTGGATATCTAGGATTATATAAATGACCCAGCTTTAAGATCTCTGTTGTAGCCTAACCTTCAGCATCATTAAAAGTTACGGAGTCCTCCATTTTCCTTCACAGATGGCCACATCATTTATCAGGACATTAGAGCTTGGAGGGAAAGGATATGCGCCATCGCCATCAGATCCTCTGTGGGCACATGCGAAAGGGCTGTCTGATTTTATTCATTTCATTGACAAGCTAGATGAAATTCTTGGAGAGATACCACATCCAAGGTAATAATTTATGCATCATAAATGTTTATTGTTAATCTGCCTTTAAAACTTCACAGAATCAGAGGTAGAGGTGAAGGTAATACTGAAATCACCAAGCATCAGACCAAAGCACAAATAGAAGAAATAAAATACCAAAATAAAGAAATCATAATTACATGACTGTCCTCTCTAAATATCATCCTTCTGTGTATGAAAACCCAAAGATATATTCAAATTCAATTTGTTTAGTGAAGATGCTTATTATTTATAATTATCTGGAAGGAACAGATTTTTCAGAACTGGAAATGACAAAGTAATTTTTTAAAAAGTATTTTACTTGACAATAAAGGAAACTAATAACAAGAATGAGGAGGAAATAGAGAAGAATGAATTCCATATTCTGGCTTTTGTTATTTTTCATCTTCTTACATCTGTAAATCTTTGTTTTATCTAGGATTTGTTTCATGTGACATTAGAGATGAACATTCATTTTAAATCTGGAAGACTTCTATTTATAATAAAAGTATGTTAGATGTTTATAGAAATTTTAGGGGACTGGAGTAGATTGTACCTATTAGCTGTTGTGGATTGCTCTCATTTTGATTGGTGAGCCATAGCATTGTTCAAATAAAAGTAGCTGATACTGAACATTGCACTGGGCATTGTTTTAAACTCTTCTCTGTAGATTATCCCTTGGTCAGTATAAAGCCTCACGTGGTGGATACTGTTACTATTCTCAGTTTAGAGATGAAGAGGCTGTAGCTTGGGGATCAAGCAATTTGCCCTGAGTTACACGGTCATTAAGTGGCAGAGCTCGGACTTGAATTAGTCAGTTCAGTTCCAGATACACATTCTTTTATCTCATTCTAGGGACTTACTTCCACTTTGTTCCAATTATTCATTCATTGAAAATTCCATATTTGTTTTTTTAATTTGAAGTATGTGTGTGCCTTTTTGGATGGGGAGGGACATTTGTGTGCCATGACCTGGGAGTGGTGGTCAGAGGACAATCTACAAGAGTTTACTTTCTCCTACCATTTGGATCCCAGGGTTTGAAGTCAGGTCGTCAGGTTTGGCAGCAAGCTCCTTTACCCATGGAGCCATCTTGCTAGCCCCCAATTCTATATGTTTAATGGTTTTGTTCCAAGTTGCATTGTATCTTATATGGGTATCTATCACATAAGGGCAGGAAGGCTGTGGTTGTATCATATCTGTACTCAGAAAGCAGAGAGTAAAAGGAAGTGAAGCCAGGGTATAAGGCTGCAAGATTCACCCGAGTGGACCACTTCCTCAGAGAGGATTTGCAGCCTTCCCAAACAACCCTGTCAGGTAGGCGCCCACTGTTCCAACCTGAGCCCCAGAGAAATTGTCCACATTCAAAACATCCTTTTCTTTGGATTTCTTTCCTATTCACTTTTCATCAATTACTTACCAAGCTTGACAGATTTAATATTTGTGCTCCTAAGGGTTCATTCCTTCTGCAGCCTCCTTGGTCCATCCTCTTCCCCTGCAGACA